AGATTTTAATTATTTTTAAAAGTCAAAATTAATATGCATTCTATAAAGTAGAAAGCACACTTTCTTATCAACTAGTTTTTTAATTTCTACCAAAAAAAAAAAAAGAAAACTAGATTTTTAACTAATAAGATTTAAACAATAAAATAAAAGTTTTAATAAATAAAATTTTTCAGGAAAGAAAGAAAAAAAAAAAAAGGGTTCGAAATGCACCAAATCTGGCCATCTAGTTCGAAAATGCCTCACCCTTCAAACAAAAGTAGACTACAGTCTATTTAAGCTTTATATCATTGTTTGGTAGCCAAAATCGAACATTATATACTTAACTTTTTTTTTAATATTCTTGGAATCCCAACATTAAACTATCCTTAATATTTCATGGTACATTTATTTATGTGCTTAGTTAATTGAATGGGAAATCCATCTTCCAAGTTCCATCCCCACGCACACATATCGACCCATTTTCTTCCCCCATACCGTACGAACCGTGTAGCCCATTCTACAGACCAATCGTCTTCCCTTCCCCAACTCCCATGGCGGTATTTCCCCCCCTTCCCCATGCATTTCATCACCTTCTCCTCTGATCTCGCCACGTGGATGCCTCACTCCTACATTCTGTGGGTCCCTTTTTGACATCCATCGAGAGCATTCTTGACTTGAGCATTCAGCTTCTCTTTCTCGAATAATATAATATTATTATTTTTTATATATAATATTTACCGTCAGATATTTTCTTCATTAGTATACTGTATTTTAAAAATTAATAATTTATTAATTTAAATAAGAGTTTATCTAATTTATATTTTAAAATATAATATTTACCGTCAGATATTTTCTTCATTAGTATAATGTATTTTAAAAATTAATAGTTTATTGATTTAAATAAGATTTTATTTAATTTATATTTTAAAAATATATTAAATATAAATATTTTTTTGCACCTAACCTTTCGAACTAAATGACTTTCGGGTTACCTTGAAGGTGTAGTCCTCCTTTCTTGATAAGTTCGAAATTCGAATCACACTTTTGTCACTTTATTCAAAAAAATATAAATATTTTTTATAAATTTATATTAAAATAATAAAAATTAACTTTTGATTTGTGTCTAGTTAAATTTAT